TTGCTATCATCATCAATATTGATATTTCTGCTAACATCGTCGTTAGTAATTTTTATGGTATACAATTTCACCGACATCGACTTTTACACAACGAGGCCCTCCGTCATCAGTGTCAACACTATCATCATCATCATCTTGTTTCCATTACAACCTTCAATGTCTAGCAGAAGAACGGGCTACAAACCTCTAGTTACTACTTGATAAGCTTTCAGTATTCCATTGGGCTGCTCAGGGGGGTCCCACATTATTTTTATCTGATTAGTTGTCTTGGCAACAACACGTGGTAGCTGTGGTGCACTGGGAACTAATTCAAAGGTCATGATTAAAAATCATTTACAATTGACAAACTTTGTTTGTTTATGGAAAAAGAGTTGGGAGAGAGGGAGAAGATTTCGATTGACTATATCAGCTTTGTCTTATGTTGTAAGACCATCAATCACTGGAAAAAATCGCGCGCTTTAAGTAAATATGATGTAAGTGTCCAAAATTCTGTAAATTTAATTTTTTCCAGTGAATGTCTCATGGCATCTAGACTGTTGATGATTTAAGCAAGAAAGATATTATTCTAAAACGGAAACCCCTTTAATATGGACGATAAACAAATCGCCGTTCCAAAGGATCGACTAAAAACAGCTCTCTTTACACTAGTTCAGATCCCGCGAGACACGGGATCATGACGTAATACCACAGATAATGCGTATTTCATAAATCGCGCGTCGATTAATAAAAGCTCGCGCATTCGCTCTTTTCCCCTTTCTCTCAATCACTAGTTGGGCGGCCTTTGGCCACTTATACTTCTTTAGCATGGTTTACGATTTTCGGAGTTAACAAAAACGCTTTAGAGAACAGTAGGTTATTACCTGACTCAGGTGTCTGCACAGACACTACTTTACTGGTATGCCCATCATCACCCTCAGTGTACGCCCTTACACAGAATGAATATGTAGTGACTGGAGTAAGATTATTGGCTATGTAACTTGACTTGTATCCTTCATAAACCAAGTCATCCCCTGACAAACAACAAAAGTCATTAATGTCAATCAACTAGAAATACCGATAAGGCCTGGTGTCCATATAATCCAACCAATCGTCTGAAAGCACGTTTTTCCTTTGTCCTAGCTTCTCCAAGACGTTTAAGAACAACGGAAAAACGCGTTTTTTAGGCCATTTGGACAACTCGTGCGATTATATGTTCATTTTATTTTTATTTAGCATTTTATTTTTAGCATTTTACTCATCAATTTTATGTTACCTTAGAGTGCGATTAATAAATACCGTTAAGTAAAATACATGTGAGTGAATTAAGGCAAAKAATTTTACCAAAGGCAACAAGCACTCATCCTAGCTGAAAGTTTAACTTTTATAAAATGCAAGTCCGACCCACTGACCTAAAATGTGATCAAAGACTAAAGGAATCTACAATAGCTAGTAAAAGGACTAGTATGAATGTACCTTGATGAAGTTGATAGGTGACATCCAAACCGCTCCTTGGATTCATTACTTCCCAGTTGATTATAATACTATAAGCACTCTCAACTAAAATACAAAAAAATTATTACTGCAAAACACAAATAAATGAAATAATAAATGAACAAAAAACAATTATGAAATAATAAATAAACAAATAATAATCAACAATTATTCACTAATGATATGCGTGATAACGGAAGAAACAAATTTTAGTAAAAATCCTTTAGCGTTTTTCGTTTCTTTTCTTTTTCTATTTTTCCCCTTCATCTTTCTTTTTTTTCTTTCTTTCTTTTTTTCAGTCTTTACTTACATGTTATTTACACCCAGATCCAAAATACGTGTCGCGGTCCTTGATATGTGCGTACTAGCCTAAAAGTCCACGCTAAGCGCCTGAAATACCTATATTTTCTCTACGCTCACTCGTACGATATCTTTTCAATACTCGAAGATATAAAATGCGTATTTCCGCGCGGCCATGTAATATCSTCTGTATAACAAATTAAAGTAATTTCTCATGATTCTATTCATACGGACAATGATATTTTTTTCTGTGCATCACTAACCAATCAGTGTAGGTGGTTTCGGCTTGGGTAATTTCTCCAATAGAGCCAGCGTATCTTCTACCTCCTCTAGAGTATCTTTCTTAACATTTTGTCTTTGTAGCACTTCCTGGAAAAATGAATACCTGTAAATGGAAACTCAGTACCTTACAAGTGCACAGTACTTTAGGAGGGAGGTTCTTTATTTGGGGACTCTAAGATGCTATAATTTGTTGTTCCATTTTCGGACAAATTTGTTTGCTTGTTTACGGCTAGTTCATTATTAATTTTCATGTCTGCTTGTTTTTCTATAGTAAGTGGTTCCTAGTATTAATATTTCATTTGTTGCTTGTCCCTTATCTAATGTGCCTTGTATCGGTTATTGTGGTCTATTTTTACTGTACCGCTAAAGCAGGTTTCACACATTCCTGGGTTCTAAGGTAGAGACAGCCATTCTTCTGACTTCCTATTGTACGTAACATCCTGTGGAGTMAAAACAATTCCACTTATCTAATTATGCATTAAAAACATGACCAGTTAGTAGTGATAGCTGTGCTCAGATTATTGCCATCAATATGCGAGATCAATTCTACCAGGGATGTGTACACAGTTTTACTGAGAGGAGCGGGTTTCCAGTTTTTTTTTTTTTTTGTATTATTTTTCAATTTTGAAGTAGGCAAATAATTACTGCAAAATTGCAMAAATATTGTTTTGGATTCACACCAAACAAACTGTTCGATAATTTGTTASCCTAATGATTTGGCAAAATAAAGTCCCATATTCCAAAGAAAAGAAGGGGGAGATTCTGAAAAGCCTGGAACCCCCCTCTGCATGCCCCCTTTTTCAATGGTATATGTATTTATGCTCACAGTGAACCTGCAGAAGCCATGGGATATATTTTGACACAAAAAGGACTGTATATACCCCTTTGGTAAGGGAGATCCCCAGGGGGGGTAGTGTCACTTACATGGCTGCAAACCAAATTAACTCATCGTCAGTACAAGACAAAAGCCTTGACAATATATTGACAATTGTATCTATTTCAGGATGGGCCAGTAGACGGCTGTGTCCTTGTTGAAATGATGCAATGCAGCTCAATGCAAAACATGCATTCTTTGCACTTCCAATGTCCTCTGATCCAAGCATACCAATCAGACTCATTATCTATTGGGATTAGAATAATTGTAAAATAAACAGAACAAATCATAATTATAAAGTAAATTAATACTGGCATAAAGTACTTCAAGCAATACTAGATAATAATTTTTAAGGCAACTTTGAGCAACTAATGAAAGAAATGACACAAAATCCATAAGATGCTGGAATCCCGTAGATCACAGTGATCCAATTGGAATGCATCCCAATATGCAGCGTGCATGCCATGAAATAGGTGGGCGTACGATGACGTAGTTTGTTTACATCCAAAATGTAAAATTAACAAAATAAGCAATCTGAACTCATATAATTCAAGATTATATTAATGTCACCAACCAAACCTGTAAATTTTAGGGCAAACGCCTTTTTACATTTCGAGATATCATTTAAAACTACAAAATCTATAGAAAACATTTCTTTAGAAAATCTTGCAAATTCGGCACTTAATTGATATCTCTTGAAATATTTTTAAATATTAAAACCATTAAAACCATTTAAAACCATTTGCCTTCAAATTTGCAGGAATTGTTGACAGGTTTGAGTCCTTTTTATTTATGGGCTTACATACTGTCTTGAAATTCGATTTCTGACTTTTATGAAAATTAGCTAAAACGTAAACATTGGCGCCCACCTATAGTCAGCATACCAATCAAATAATATTAGACTTTCTTCCAGTGATCATAACAATCAAATGCAAAACAGAACAGTCATCAGCTGAAATACTCGTCAGTGATCCAATCAGTTGCAATGATTATATGGAAACCAGGATACCWTTTGTCAGGTCTTACCATTCGTTTGGATTCAGGCATTGCTAAGATTCTAGCACAACCAGCCTCAAGATCACACAGCCGACCAATAGCAAAGGCAGAATTCATTCCACGCCCTGTCACAAAAACAATTGAATTGGATTTAAAAAAAACAATATTTTCAGTTATCATGCACAATA